TTGTCTTCACAAAGTTAGCTCAATTTTTATATCAATTCAACCAATGTATAATTAAAACTCATTTTCAAAGGGCTTAAAGAACCCATTTTAAATTATATATGTTCCTAATTTTTCTTCAAATTGCTCATTCGATTAATATTATAAATTATCTTCAAAAAGTGCAGCACATATCAGAAGTTATTAAAGTTTGATTTATGTTTTCTAATCTATCCAGGTCAGCTTGTGTTCTTTTATTTTGTTTTAATTGATAAATTAATTTAACAAAATATGATTAATATAGTTTTTTACTTTAGTCCTTTCAATATCAGCGTACAATAGAAAAAACTCTGTTTTTATATGTAAAATCCTGATAATATTTAATTAAAAATGAATAAAACGACTAATTACTTATTATAAATAAATTAAAAATGATAAGCTTTAATTGCTGTTTTTTTATTTACATTATTAAATTTTTTTAAAGGCTAAAACATAAAAGAAATCAAATACTTCACAGTTCTGAGCACTCTTTCGGTTCACATAAATTTTCCCAAGGGGACAACTCAATAAGCGAACGAGCAATAAGCAATAAATGCGTATGCAAATGAGCTTTAATGAGCAAGAATATTGCTCGGTGGGCAATTACCGCAGTGCTTTTATTGCTCTCGTCGAAAGGGAGCTGCGGAGACTTGAACGACTGCAATTCTCGCGCAGCTCCAGTCATATTTCACTCTCGGGCTGGCAGCAGCACTCTATATTGTAATTTCATCTTTCGCAGAAATCCGCGCGCACAAGAAGTGGAAGAAGTGATTTCTCGGATTTGCAAAAAGTATAATGCTGAAAAAAAAACACGCGCCTTATGGGCTGCAAAACTGGCCAGCGAATAACATAATTACACACATCATATGCGGGCTTGTGCAAAAAGTTGTCTTTCGAAGACAAAGACATTTGCAATTTTGTTGCCAAATGAGTGTAATTCAGTCTGGTTTTGCCGAAATTAAAGACCGTTTTAATGTTTAATTTTTTTTTAATCTCGTCCGGTTACAAAATTACATGGTTCAAGTTAAAATAATTTATTCGGTCGTTGATTGGGCATCGCTCGAATTGAATAAGCAATAATAATTATGGTCCAGCGCAAACAAAGCTTCTTTGAAGGCACCGCTTTTTGTTCGAATGTTTGCAGATTTTATCTCTTGATATTGTTGTTGGCCAAAAACATTCATCTCTCTCTCGGCGGCTCGGCGGCGAGAGCGAATAAAATTTTACCGAGAGGGAGCACAACATGCGCGCATGAAAATACTTTTCTCTTCTTGCTTGGCTTTAATTACCGACCAAATGAAGACGGAGATTGAAAAAGTGATGACCGCCGCCGCGAGAGAGGCAAGTTTTTGTCGGGCCAAAATATTAATACAGCGCGTTCTCCCGCCGGACCGAGGTGTGTAATTAGAGGAGGTCTGATTGGCCACTTTTAATCATCTGGCTCATGAGTAGCCCTCGGCTCTCGATTATTATTTGAGCAAACTAATGGCTAGGCCAATAAATTAATCCGACATGGCGTATTTGCACACTGGAAAAAATATCACCTCTCACATTCTGCGTTCTTGATACCGCTACGCAGTTGTCATCAAAATTAAATTAGAATTAAATTCAATTTTTCTTTTAAAGAAATTTCATACAGTAAAACAATAATACTGCACTAAAAATAGTTGAATGAATTTCCAACAATCCTCTCTAAAAACCAACAACAACTAAAAAAATATAAATTTATTCCTCTTAAAAATTATTTTTTATTTACAATTTATTACGCAGAAAAAATATTTATTTAATGGAAAGATTTTTGGAAAAACAATTATTTTGTGTAGCAGTCAAAATTGAATAATCCTGTGCTACCTAAATTATTAAATTAATCGAATATCTTTTTAATTTTCCTTTTTTTGGAAAAAGTTCAATCTATAAGGAAGTTTAATGTATATGGATATTTAAATTGGATGTAATTGACGTATTTGTCTCGGAGTTAAGTTGTTTATTGCTCCAAGGAAGGATTGGTTACCGTATAAATAATAAACCAAAGAATAAATTGGAGAACCAACACAGGGTTGATAACCTGACGGAGAATAAATTTGGAGCCGGACTGAATATTAAATTGAGGTGCATTCCTTTGACAGGGTGATTGATTGCCTCATTTCACCCGGCAATTTTTATAATCTGTGCGCACGGCTGTGTTCGACTTAAAAAACCAAAAGGTTAAACAAAATCTTTCAGGCAATAATATCAAAAAGTATATTAAAATATGGCCAATATGGGCAATGAAAATAATTCAGAATTTTATAGTTCAAAAATTTATTTCTGGAGGTGAAAGTGAAATTATAGAATCTCTTTATTTTACTTTAAATGGTTGTTTTAGTGAATCAAAAGAAGAATTTTAATCTGTGGCAAATATTAGTCCAGGCAAACCGATTCCGTGCAGAGGAAGCTGCGTGCAAAGTCAAATATTGAGCCTTGGGTTATTTACCTTGGGCACGCTGCCGCAAAGTGAGCTCAAATAAATATTAAAGGGCAAATAAGACCAAGTGTTTAACAAGGCTTTACACGTGTTTATCTAACAATATTTTCAATGCAAATATACATAAAAATATCACACGCAATGCTTATACATATAATGGCCCTGGATAATTATTTAAGTAAAAAAATTATATTCATCCACAAATCTGCGGTGAACAAAAAAGATATAAAAATCGTGGTTTGGGCTGTTTTGTGGCAGGCCAGACAAATTAATCGTCCACATATGTTTGGGTCAAGTTTCGCTGATGGGCAATTAAAAGAGTGGTCAGACGACAGCAATCCGATATCACGCCGGTCTCGGCTGCTCCGAAGGCGGCTGGTGCATGACCTTATGAATATAAACGCCTGAAGTATATTTCCAATGGAATTCAAATTGCTGGGAAATCTTAATTTATGGAGCGCATATTTATTTTTTCAATTTCACAAGCATCTCGGAATCATTTTTCATCAGATTAATGCACTTATTCCAACAGGGGTGATTTATTTCTCGCTCTGGCGTTTCGTTTTTCTTTCTCGTGCGTTGTTTTCTTTTTTTAATCTTTTTGAAAAAAAAAAATTCAAAACGCCTTGTGCGCGCACACGATGTGAGTGCGGTAATTATTTATGGATGTGCAAGTTTCGCCTCACTCGCAGTTTTTTTTTCACTTCATCCTCCTCTTTCTCTTGCTCTGCCACGGCGCACCGCTGAATAAACAAGGTGTGTGTTGTTGGTTTTTATCCTCTCTGGCCGCGACTAGCTCGTAAATAAAATTCTGCCTGTGAGTTTTTTATGATTTATTCGTGCAGCTAAAGTGCGCGACAACTTTGTTAGGTTATTTTCTGCTCATGGTGCGTACCAAGCATTTCAAACACTCCTTAATCTCTATGAAAGCGTATTTTTCTGGCGAGAAAATATGTTGATTTATAGTGAGTTTTTGTTTCATAGTCAAAAATTCAAAGCTAACAAATTTATTTCAGCCTGGTTTAAATTTGTTAATCAGTGCTAAAAGTATTTGGCAGAAAAAATGGCCAACTTTGAGTGTGCTATAGATTTTTTTTATTAACCTAACAAAAATAAAGAGTTATCTGACAATTCTTATACGTCCCGTCTAAGTTTGTAAGTTTTTTTCAAATAATACATACTATGATTCACTATTAACGATATAATTATTGTGGTTTCCTAATGCAATTTTTTTTCAACAATTTTACATTCAAAGAAAAATAACAATTATTGTTGGGAGGAAAAAACTGAATTATTGGCAAAAAGGCGCTACCTATAGAGAGCTTCCGATGACACAAAGACTTCGCACTCCGCACATGTCACAGAGAGCCTCTGTTTTTCTTAAATTCACCGTTCTTATAAATCTTATAATTAATATTGAAATAATCAATTAATTCAAATAAAATTCTTAATATTGCAATTATATGATAATAATGAGCCATCTCAAAACGAAACTAAAACGATTTAAGCATTATTTATTTGATAAACCATTACATTGATTCATGCATACACGCTATGAAAATAAAAATTTTGTATCATGTAAATCATGTAAATATTATAATAAATTACAATGATTATAATAATATAAAACAAAAAAATGATAATTTAAAATAATTTATTTTAAGCAATAATTAAATTGTTAAAATATAACACAAAATAGAGTTGGAAATCTGAAAGTAGAATAATTGCTTTCTATTTGCCATAAGACTAAAAAAAATTTGGTCTAAAAAAATTTCTAAATTTGCAATCAACCCAAATAATATGTACTTCTAATAACAAAGGATTAAGTAGTCCTGAGACTGATAAAAAAACTTATCTGAAAAAAGACAGACATTAAAATGACGTCAATGACATAGGATTTGATTGTTGTATACAAATTGACGAAAATTAAATGTGTCAGACCCTGCAACAAACAAAATTTGCTCCGAATATCGTGAAACAAATAAAATGAAACTAAGCAAGACTAGAAGTAAATTTATAAAAAAAATTCCATTTCTCAATATTACAAGGCGCCAACTTTAATGTGAAAGTGACCAAATCAAACATTCACTTCCGTCCAAGAATGGATGTGGAATCAAATTAAAATTTCAACAGCGGGTGGTTTCCTACGAAAAATCAGAGTGGCTGCAGGCGGCGTCGAAAAAATTAAAGAAAATCGTCGGCTGATAGAGTCATTAATGGTGGCGGGCCGGCCGGCAGGCCGGTGTTCCCCTCGCGCGCCGAGCCCCCTCACGACCTCCCCACCCGGGGCCGGTGCTAGTTGAGTTGTCAGGCCGGGGGCCGACAGGCGCTCGAACGAATCTTGCTAGCCTCGGCCGAGCGCTCGCAAGAAGTTGGGAGAAATAAATTTTGGTCCGGCGATAGAGGGAGCGCAGCGGCCGCCCTCGCACGGCAACCCTCTCTGGCTGAACTGCGAGTAGTGCTTTGAGGGTAGTGCGCCTGTGAGGACATGTGATGCCTGACCCTGTGTTCATGCCTACAGGACTCCCGCTGCAGTTCCCGTCGGCGTTCGCCGCCTTCCACCAGCCGCTGCCCGTCGACCAGCGAACGCATGAGGGCCGATACGTGTGGGACCCTGCGGCCAGGGTCCACCCTGCAGCCTACCCCCATGGGTGAGTACAACCTTCTTAAGTATTCCTCTCGGTGAAAACCACCCCTCGGAAGAAATCAGTTCACGAGCTGTTTTAATTAATTATGGATTTTAATTTTTTTTTAATTAAACAAAAAATATTGACATTTAATTTATCTCAAATATTTATTCTTAAATAAATGCGTTTTTCTTTAAGTTGTTTCAAAATTGCGTCTACCGTTTTGAGGAGTATAATTTTTTGGATATTTTTAATTAAATATGAAAATTCTCTGTATAATTTTTTCAAATTATTACATTTTTAACTCAAATTAAAACCTAAAGAAACAATTCTTTCTGAAAGGATAGGTATTTGTGTAAATTTAAAAAAAAATCTCATCAGCAGAAATTGGCCTAAGTAATTTGATTGCAATGCATTGAGAATTAATAAATTCTCTTTTACACGACTGAAATAAAAGGAATTTATGGGAATATAAAAGATTTCTTTTTAAGGATTGTGTCTTTAGTGACTAATATTTTAAGCTTTAAAACCTAAAAAATATCTTAAAATGTAAAAAAATCCAATTTGAAAACAATATAAGCTGTAAATTATCAGTTGCTAGAGCGAAAGTTAGGATGGCCTCTCAAGAAACGTTATTCCCCGTTTCTCGAGAAAGACACATTGCTTTTTAAGTTTACTTGACAGTGGAAAAACACGGCTGCTCACCTCACACCCTACGCTCTAATCCGGAAATGTGTTCTGTTCTAATCCCACTAATCTCCCATTCTGGTTTTACTTAAAAAACCAAAAGTAATCCCGGTGCCAGATTGAAAAGTCGCCCCTGCGAAGGATTTACGCAAAACCAACTGTTGCTTCTCGGATTAATCTGTTGAAAACGCGGTCCACGTGCTCTTTTTTTATAATGAAATGAGTCTCGATTTTCCTTCTTTTGTATTTACTTCGGAAGGCTCGGATATTGTGCCAATAAAATTATGAAAGAAAGATCCCCCGCGAGGATAAATATCTATCAATCGCGTGTTTTGTATGCATCCGTCGAGTGCGCAAAGGGTTGAGCGGAAACAAACAGCGTGCGCTCTCTCATGTTTTATTAAGTTTTTTGTCATCGTTCCTTTCTGATATGCAGCAGGCAGCTCATTTATTTCTTATTCTCGCTCATTTTCCCATCAGCTGGAAATAAACAAATTAGACTAGAGTGGCTTTCATATTATTTATATCCGTGCATGCGGAATGAAAGGAAAAGTTCCCTTTTTTTCGAATTTATTTTATGACAAGCTTTGTTCTGCGACGGAAAAAAAATCAAACTTGTGCCGGCACAGAAATGGATCGTTGTAATTGAACAATTGAACTGATCGACGGCAATTATTGGCATGGCGGTTGATCAAATCTGCTGGGGGTCAAATTTTGATTTGCTTGACAAAAGGATTATTATTTGAAAGATCAACAGAAAAAAAAATCCTTTCTGTAAAATTTTATTTCATATGTCAACGGATATTGAAGATTCAAATCAAATAAATATTGCAGTTTTGAGTAAATTTTATATTCAACAAAAATTTTGGAAAGAACAAACTTCTGTAATGAGTGAGAAATTAAATAGCACGTTTCAAATTTGATGAAATTTCACACAATTTTTTTTTTGAAACTGAGGGAAAATTCGAAATTTGTGTGTGGAATGGAAAAAATCCTGCAGACCGACGCTGGGGCCAAAACAAGCCACGGATTTCTTGCTGGTCAGTTGTAGAAAAAATGCTGCCGCGCGTGCTTTTTTTGGGGTCGCGAACACAAAAGTTGCATTATAACCAATTTTACAAGCAAAAGCCCCTGGACGAAGGGACAGGCTGCTGCACTTCTGGAGAGAACAAAATAACAGAGGAGAAGAATTCGGAGGGAAAAATAAATATAAGCTGGCAGAGCAAATGGAGAGATTTTGTGGGAGGGATTTGCCGGTGCAATTGTTGCCGACGCGAGGGGGTGGCTGTCCTTCGGAATGATAGTCAAGTGCTTTGAGCAGGCCTAGTGCAGCATGAGGCGCACTCGGCCGGAATAATGCGCACCCTAATTACCTACCCAGCGGCCCAACAATGACCAGCAGCGCGGCAGGAACCCTTCCTGACAGCTTTCTTCTTCTTCTTCTCTCGATTTTGCGCGCCCATAAATCACTTAAATCATCTCCCCTGAAAAAGAAGAAGTTTCGCTTGTATATCTTTTTGAAATCTTCTTTGCTCAAAACTGTACATGTACCTGCCAAGAACCGATATATGTACATTTTTATGGCGCGCAGACTTGTTTTTCTCCCTGTTGCTGACGTGCCTACCTGCGAAAGGGATGAAAAATAAAATTCGTGACGGACACTGATAGTGGGTCGAGGGGTGAAGAGAAATCTGATAGAAAAAGTAAATCGATTCAAAACTCCAAGCGAATTATTGACAATTTTGGTTGGTTTTTTAAATAAGCTTCTTAACATACAAATTAAATTTTTTCTAGAGGTTCCATGACAAAATAGGAAATTTCCAATTACAAAATGTATATTTTCTGTAAAATTTACACATTTTCCTTCAAAATCCACACATTGGGCTAGGGAGAATTTTTGTTGAAATTTTAAAATTTAATTTTTCCATCTTAAAACTGCATATTATGGCTCCTGCTCATTTGATTCTTTTGGGAGAGTATTATAAAAAACTGACCAAATTAATTTTGCAAATGTAGATTCTTAATAATAATGTATAAATTTTGTATAAAGAAGGCCAAATCATCATCCAAGTTAGTCATAGCAGAAGCTGAAAGCCCGGCCTTGATTAATTTATGTTTGTATGCTGTAGAATTTCCATCTATATTTTTTTTTTATTTGCCTTATTGTTAGTCAAGAAGAGTATAAATTTTTTATGATAATTAATAGAAGTGTCTTTCATAAGTTACGCATTTGGTCATGGAGCTATGTGAATTTAGTCAAGTGAAGTTCTAACTTATTTGTACAGGGCGCTAAAATATATTTATCTTACAAATTTAATCAATTAAATGTATTATTTTATATTTTAATAAAACTTAAATGCTAATTTAAAAGATCCATATTAAAAAATTGTCAGAATAAACATGATAAATTAATATTTAAAGGCGTAAATAAATGTTATAAATAAAAATTAATTATTGTTAAAATATTTTCAAAATTATAATACTTTTTAAAATTTTTACTGTTCTCAATCTCTGTCCTAAACGCAATGAAGAACAATAATAGTTTTTAATACTCTTCACTCCTTCGGGTCATGACATGAGCTGTGCTGGCTTTGTTTGCTATTTTTCACCGTCAGCCACCCCTGCACGTTTTATTTGAATGTATACGATTATTTTGCGCTAATCCACGCACAGCTTGGGTTTTAAAACTAATGCGCGTGGTTTGCGCCGCCCGAAGAGCAGTTGGCAAAAACGAGCGTGTTGGCCGTCGGCCCATCTCAACAGCTTTTTGGCGCCAATTAAAATTCTCGACACCGGCGCGCGGGCCGAGAGGGCGATAATCATTTGCAATTTGCACAGCACCGCCCGCCGGCCCGCCGGCCCGCCACCGCCTCGCTCCTTTTCACTCGAGAGATCGTCAACGCCGAGAAAACGAACATCAGCGCGCGCTATTTTGGCGCAGAGGCAGGCAAGCGAGCAAGGACGCTGAAAGATGGCAAAACGAAGAAAGAATGGATGATGTTGAGCGAAAAGAGTTGAAATGGGTTCATGCGCAGAAACTGAAACTAAAATCCATTCAAAACACCTCAAAAATTAAAAAAAAATCATTTTTTTTAAATAAAAAAATATTGTTTCAAAGTCCATCTTAAACTATCAATTTTCATTAATAGAATTTTGAAATTTATAGTAACAAAATAAATGAAGGTGTAAATAATTTATTTTAATAATTTTAAGGGTAATAATTGTGATTTACGAATAAAAAAAATGGACCGGCGCCTCACGTGATGATTTTGTCTTTTCTGCTCGTCAGGCTCTTCATACTTAATTCCCTCTCCTCTTGTTTCCAACTTGCGCACATCCACATATAATATAAAACAGTTTAGCGAGAGAGAACAAAACGGCAACAATCATCTCAGCGTACGTATAATTAGGCCAGGGAGCAACAACTCAATCTCTTGCCGCCGTCGCTCTCCGTTGTTTTCGTTCGCGTAATTGGCTGAGAGGCGCAATTTGAAAAGCAAACTCGGATGCAGCGCAGCCAAAGCGCGAAATGAATATAATGCACCGGCCGTAATTATCGAAGTGAGGCGTCCGCAGATAATCATAACAATATAACATGCACTCGACACCCAATTATTTACACCTAAACGAAGACGCCATGTGCAGTCTGCGTGGCAACAGAGAGACGCTTTTATTGCACTTGTTAAGCAATAAAACTTTGAATTAAGTGAGCTGTAATGCGACACTTTTAATTACAAAATGTTTACTTAACATTAATAGCTTTTTAATTAATTGCTATTTAATCTAAATTAGCATATTTTTTTGCTTAAAACATTTTTAAACATTATCAATAATTAATAGTAATTTTTTTTATTTTATATTTTGTCAGCAATTTTTCTTTATGTTCTTAAATTTTTTGATATCAAAATTAAAACAAATGTGAAAGCATTACGTTTTTCTAAAACAAACAAAATATAATCTACCTTCAGCATAGGAGTATTTATTCTGAATGAAATATTTAATATTCTTCTGGCATTTTTAGGCCTATTATTGAACCTATTCATCATTAATAATTTGTATAACTTCTTAATATTAAATCAAGGAAAATGGATGTTAAGAAAAAGAGGAAATAATTTTTCGTCCACAGTTTTATAATTGGTAAAAATCATTTGTTCCACCTTTTTCATTTAATTTAACCAACTCTTTAAACTGCACTTTTCCAGATGACTTAATAGCAAGTGATGAATTTTTTATAGAGTCCTTTTTGATAGATCAAAATTAATTATTTATATTTCTCTGTGTTAAGCTTTTGTTTTATCTTGAAAGACGCTGCGTATATTCGAGCTTCTTGTTCTTTGGTAATTCAAAAACCCATTAATCACCAGTGCTGCCAAAGAAATAATCGCGACCATTTTTCACACCAACGGCCCACATCCTCTTTCGCAAGCTGCTCTGAATCGATTCGAGCTGCTGCCGTTTGAAAGTAAATTGTGGAAAAAATATAAATAATGCATTGCGAGAGACTATAGCGGAGAAGGAGGAGTGAATGAAAATGTCTGCTCAGCGGCGGCTGCTCATTATATTGTTTTCATTTCTCATTGTCTTAACGCTTGTTCGGCTCGTCTGCCGCTCCGTTTTAAATATAAATGAAGCAGCGCGTCTTGGCTGCCGAGTCCCCCGCTTTGCTTTTGGCCCGTCTGACTGACACATTAGGACGCTTTGAAGAGGCCCACATGGTGCGGTACACTACATTTTTATTTGCTGCCCTGCTTGCTGCCACAGGATGCTGTAAACCAATATATTTTCGCTGCCGAGTTGAGAAAGATGCTCTTTCTCAGGCCCACGCCACAGAAAAAAAAACACATCAACATCTGCGAAAATGCTCGAGCTGCTTCTTCTTCTTCTTCGTTCGATCCGTTCTTTTTCTCGCGCGAATGTTTCAAACTTATATTTTCAAATCGAACTGCCGCGTGATTAAACAGAGGCAAACAAATAACACGCCAGCACTTTTAATGGCCGTGGATTTTATGCCCGCAGAGAGGACGCGTCGCGCATTATTCATCAGCTGATAAAGGTGGTGGTGTGCGCGTTTGGTGATTTTTCATTTTCGGTCCGGCCCGCTTAAAATTCAGCGGACATCAACGTTTGCCGCGGGGGACATCACTCTGATGTCAGCATATACATGCACATACCTTTTTCGCCCCGGGCCGGGCACTTTTGCAAACTCGCTAGATTTATCACCGCTCAATGAAATTAACAATGGCGATTCAATCAGTTTTTGACACAATGTGGTCAAGCTGAAATTTATTTATTTATTGAGAGGAACCAACGGTCAGTTATTTAATATTTTAAGAAATGTAAATATTGGCAAAACCAGTTTTCTTACTAAAATTCTTCAAAAGTTTTGAAAATCATTTAAATTTCAAAGTTGATAGAGGAAATCTCAAAATGGAATATAAATTTAATAACCAAGTAATAAGTTTTTAGTAAAAATATTTTTTGCTTTAGTTTTCATCAAAAGGACGATAAAATAAAATTTTCATTTATGAATAAATTAATTTCAAATGATACTGTTTGATTTCTCTCTCAAAAGCTTCAATATTGGTTGGATCTGCTAATTAGAAAAAAATCAAAGAAATCCGTGTTAATTTGAATATCGCTGGAACAATTCCCTGGATTGAGACAATCCAACAATTTGGTGCTTGAAATTTAATGAAGTTTTTTTTGTATTGAAATCTTGCCAAATATTTAAGGTAAAATGATTTTTTTTAAATACATTAATTTAAATATCTTTTTCCTTTTTCCTCTCTTGAGTTTTTGTTTTCTTTTTCTTTAGAGATGTTCACAAAAAGAAACGAATTCGGTGGTGTGTCCTCTCGTTAAGCAGCTCGGTCACGCAAAAAGCGTCCGTCTCTGTTTGCTCTCGCGCTGTGTTGATGCTGATTAAAAATTCAGCACCGCGCTGGAATGTCGGGCGAATTTTATCTGCGAGTGGTGCAATAATGAGCCCGTGTTCCATGTGGGAGTACTTACTTTGCCATACGTACGTGTATATAAATAAATTTACGTCGGCTGTGTACCCGCCAAGCAAGTGAGTGTGTGTATTGAGGTGCGAGTATGGTAATCACCTGCACCGAGACACGCTGGCAATTACCCGCAAACAGCCTGCTCTTTTACTCGCCAAATAAAATAAAGAGCAGCAGCCGAGCCGAGTCGCTTTTAATACTAATTAGATGTATCGGCATGCATATTCATCAGCCTGATTGCCCTTCCAATCACAGAATTAACTCCCCTCGTCGCTTGTTTTCTCTGCGCGCGGCCGGTCCGACGCGACGGTCCTGCAGCTTTTTTCATTAAAAGTCGAGGCAGCTCTCGGTAATCAGCACTTCTTGTGCTTCTCTTGCGAAAATCAATCCGGACCACTTATTCCGCCAGGTATATACAATTTTCTTCCTTCGCAAGGGAATTAATTTCAGACTTTTTAATTCTGTGAAGTTTTAATTGCCGTTTGTGACAGCATCCGTGGATATTTCTGCTCTTTTGATCAAACCGGCGGCACAGCAGCAGAGACGACGTGCTTAATGAGTCGCTCGCTATTTCTAAACGCTGTCTAATCGGTTTTCCGGTCACTCAACACAGGGTAAAAATAACCGGTCTGAGCGCTTTCCAAAAACAATCACAAAACAAAAGCAGGACAAATTTAATTTAAGGCTTTTTAAATAAAATTTAATCTAGAATTCTGGAATCAAATATAAAAATTTATAAGAAATTTTCATCCCTGTAACTTGGGAATAAAATTCCGCTTTCTGAAATTGCATCTTTTGAATTTTGAACAAAAACTACATAAAATCAGGACAACCTGAACGTTTTCCCCATTTAATTAAATTGTTTTTGTTTGATAAACAACTGAGATTTGCTGAGAATAGAATTTTTCTTCAATTATAATCTCTTAATGAAGATTTTTAAAAAATGGCATTAAAATTTGACACCAAAACATTATCATATCATCATATTATATCTGTTACTTCATTTCATTCAGATGTTTTTTTTCTTTCTAGTTAAATTTAATAACTTATATTCCATTAAATTTAAGCTACAAAATCACTACAAATTGAAGTATTTTTTTTATTTCAAATATCTCTTGGATATATTTTTTGTTTTTAACTTAAATTGCAATATGCAACAAAAACTGGAGAAGAAAACCACATGCTCGTTGTGTAATCAGAAATAACAAAAACAGACCCTGATGAAATTGGAACTTTCCCTCCCTATATATGCTCTCGAGTTATGAACTTGGATATAGACAACTTGATGCAAGTGAAAAAGTAACTGGGTGCAACTCGATCCTCTGCGGGGCCTGGCGTTGGCCAAAGCACAAACAAAGTGGTCCATTTTGCTCCCACGCCTCTCCGACACTTGACTCGGAGCGGGCGCCAAATTTTGACGCAGAGCAGACCCCGTCCGGCTGACCAAGTCTCTCTTGAGAGTCATCAGCAGTTTTGACGGATTGCGAGCGAAATTCGATCCGGAGTCAAGTGGCTTAGCAGAGAGAGACACTGCAGTCCTGGGTTCGAGTGCGGACGCGTCAGCCCGATGACAGATCATCGTCGGGCACGAACGCATTCATCACCCGCCACCCGCATTTCCCGCGGCATGATAATTAAGACACGTGTAATGCACGTGGAGGCGCAAACACTTCCGGCCCAATTAGCACCTCGCCAGCCGGTCTGCGGTGCAGGGTGTTGAGAGATTAGATTCATCGGGGAGGATGCAAATTTTGATTCACGGAGATAAAACTTAAGATGAAAAGCGTGCTCATTTTTTTCTAATATTTTATTACTTGCGGATGTCGGCACTTGTAAAAAATTGATTAAAATTCTTATCAAACGAGGATATTCAATAAAAAATTAAAAGAATTTAGAAATTGGAAATGTATTAAATTGTCAAAACACTAATTAAAAAAATATATAATATTGCTTTTTAATGTTATTGCAGTTACATTCCAGAAGACCTCTTGAATTTCTGCAATTTAAGGTAAAAAACATTTTTGGCAGTCTTTCTTCTTCTAATAATAATTGGCAATGGAGATAATCAACACAAATCGTTGCCGACTTTTCCTCTCCCAATCATTGATGTTTGACCTGCCCTTTCCCCAGAATGGGCCATAACCAAGCGCAAGCAAATTGCTGCCATTTTTTTCTGTGGTCCAAAGTACCATCACATCATACTGCGTGGTGAGCATTTAAAGATAAGCACAGCTCCCCCTTCGCTTTCTCAGAAAAAGATCGCTCGACATTCTGAAGAAGTCGGAAAAAAATATGAGCCGCTTTCATGCGACACAAAAAATGTAAATCTTGATGGTAATCAGCGGCACGGCGAGGCCATCAGATATAAATACAAAATACCCGGGTATAAAATAAATACATAAATCCGAGCCGATGAGATTGGAGACGTCTCATTTAGACTGTCCCTCGGATAATTTTTACGATATTTCACGGTAAAAAGGAGGCGAGTGTGACTCGGCGTCACTCACTCTCCTTTGCGCGTGAAAACTCATCCATTTATCAGGGGGATGATCACGAACGAACCACCCCCAAGGGTGTCAACTCAAAAGCTTCCAGGAAAAAGAGAGCTATAAAATAAATTTTTTTTTCTCCCCAAAAAGGCAACCTGTGTGAGTTTGCTGCTTTATTACTCTGGGGGTGAGTTTGCTTCTTGTTGCCGCCTTTGTGCGCGGCAAGGGGGTGCTTCCACCCCCTGCGAGCAACAGCTTTATATAATATTTCCTCCAGAAAACGCTGCGCTTACAAATATATATTATCCTCGAGCAGCAGCGGCAGCTCGCAGGGTCAACCTTCCTTAAAAACCCGGAGTCATAAATTATTGCGCTGGTAGCCTTGAGAATGAACCCAGAGAGTTTGGTCGCTCTTTCTTGTCTTGCCTCGCCAGCCAGAGAGCGAAACGACCAGGCAGGCCCAGGCGGCCAAATCTCTCTTTTCACAAAGGGGCTGACAGAGAAATTTCGGCCTGCCCAAATATCATCCCTCTGACCAGCACTCAACAAAAACATGTTCGCTCGCCCGCTGTGGAGAATTCGATGAAATCCCTCTTTTCGAAACCCAACAAAACAAACAAAAATACTTACATTTATGTGAAGGGAAAAAATTGGATAGAAAGTGCGGTTTTTGAACATCCCGTAAATTAGGATAAAAAAATTTCAAATGAAATAAAAAAATTTAAGTGATGGAAATTTTGCTTGAACATTTATGATCTTATCAACTTTTTTTAAATTGCAAAATAATGGTTGATTTTTATTAAAATATCACCAGTTATTTCCAACCCATAATGCAAATTTTGGATGTAATTTCTTACTTAGCTTTAAAATTTAGTCCGTTTTTTTTTTTCAAAAAAATATTTAATGTGCCTGTTTATTCATGGCTTTTATCTCATTTGGATCAAATCGTCAGGGTCAATTTAGTGCCAGCGACTCAGGCAGACCTGTTTGAAACTTTTTAAGAATCCGAGCACATCCCCCGGTCAGCCTCAAACGCACCATTCCCTTTTGATTCCAAATTAGGAGGCGGTTGTTAGAAGTTTGGCGCGGTCGTTATTCCTATGGCCATGCAGACTAGCCGAGAGACAATCGTCGAGCAGCAAGTTGGTCTGCGTGAGTCGCGCGGCGGGAATGAGACGAATAAGTCATCATCGGCTAAATAACAGGCTGCGTTTGGTAATTTAGTCATGAAACATTAAATTTATTATGGAAAAAAAGAGAGGAGACTCTCCGAGAAAACAACATTCTCATCACAGAGAGAGAGACGTGCCTTCTTCTTTTTACTTCTCCACCTCCTCCTTCTCCTCCTCCTGCGAGCAGCATTTATATATATTTTATAATTCTACTCGGAGCAAAGAAGAAGAAGAAGTAATGGTTGTGAGAGAGCATGACCAAAAGGCTATGTCATACTTGAATAGCCCAACTCACATCTCTGTCTGTTGGAGGCGGCGTTGCCGATTTGACCGACTCTGCACCAAAATATTTCTCTGAGAGGAGAGAAGCGAGAGCCGGAGCAAGAGAGAAAGAGAGAGACAGCTCAATAAAGTTATTTTTTATACGGCCGTAACCTCTAAAAGGAGGCGCACCAAATTATATACATTTATGAGAGAAGAGAGAGATGCTGCGTGGAGCCGGGGATATATAATATGGTAGTGTGGTCGTGTTTGTTGTTCGTGCCTGATCACTTTAAATACATTTTCATCAGCAACACCTCTATCTCATAATCGCTTTTTGATACCGCATCCGCTGCTGTGCCTTGATTACATCATTAATCCTCTGTAGACTTGCGCTGGACCTTTTTTTATCAAAATATATATTTATATTCATGGCTGAGCACTCAATATTGGAAAATATTTGCATTGGCAGAAGTTTTAATTATAAGAATAATGTATTATGCTAATTCCAAATTAAAATAAATGAAATTATAAAAAGTAAATAATAACATTAACTAGTACATTTGATTTATTATTTGTTTCTCTGGATTACATTTATTAAATTTTGTATTAATTATGTATTTATATTTTTATCCCATTTGTTGTTTTTTTTTTAATTTTGTAATTAATTTTTGTCATTTATTTATTAAAATTATTAAAAAATATTAAGATCATCAGTGTTATAGCCTTCAATGTTTTTCGCAAGTAGATAAATTAAATTTCTTCTGTCCTTTCTAAAGTGTTGAAGAATAAATAGATTAAAATAATTGTTCACATAAAAAAATTCATGTAACAAATGTAGATCAATGAAAATTAAAAACCATGAAACCATATCAGCCTACATATTATATATACATATATACTTTATGAATTTTTTTTATAATATTCTGAAAACAAAAATCTTTTCTGTTGACTGCAGAATAAATAAGGCAGCTACAAATCGTTAAATAAGGAATTTGTTTGAGCTTAATTTTGTTCGGCAGTATTTTTTGGGGCCGAAATCGGAGAGGGAGGTTGTTTAGGATGGAGTCGCGCGGTTTCAAACTTCTTCTTGGCGTGTGTATGTATCTATCGGGTTTGATCGCACATACTTTGTATGCTAATTTAGAGCTGGAGCGGCAGCACCACTTTTCAGGTATCTAACGGCCAACAGGTATAATGTAGGTGCTGCTTCTTTTATATAAATTCGTGTGTATCCGAACGAACATAGGGAATGCCTCCCAAAAAACTGGCCCGAGTGTGATGGGAATCGAGCCGGAGGTCAAGTGACGTCACTTTGTAAATCAGAAAAGAAACTCGAGCCACCGCTGCCCACGTGCTGTGGTTGTACTATTATTATTATTGTTGTTGTGCCCAGATTATTTCAATATGCACGCCGGTGCCCGGCCTCAATTATCCTTATCTCAATTGCCCGCCCAACAATGCAAAGCAAACATCTCGCCGCGGTAATTACGCCTCGCCGCGGCCATTGTTGCAGCAGCATTTTCAAAGTCTGCCATAACTGTGGAATCACTGAAAAAATTATACAGACGAAATTCACTTCATTCAAACCAGCAAAATTGTTTTAAATTACTCATACTCTGTTATTGTGAGGGAGTAAACAAGTGGAAATTAAAATAAAATAATATTTTAAAATTTAAAGTGTAAATTATATAACACGAAAATTTTATTTTTATTTTTAAAGCGTTGCAAAATTTTAATAAATTTTAGCTATATTTTATTTATAATTATATAATTAATTCTTATTTATTTTAATTTCAAATAATTTTCTGTCTAGTTTTATCTATTATTTAGTTTGTTATTTATGATTTTATACTTTTTTTGTTATTTAATTCTACAGATGATTTAAAGATGAATTGAATTGATTATTATTTGAAAATAAATCTTGTCCGTTTGGGTGTGATTCTTTTGTGAATAAGAAAATTTATAATTCTTCAATAAAAGAAAATGACAATGATTAAAATATAAATCTATAGAAATTAATGATAAAAAATTACCTCTTCCATACTTCTTTTCATTATCTGCACGATCGCAATATTTTTCAGGTTAAATACAATTATTGAATTGACCCTAGTCGATGAAATTTAGAGGCTTCCGTGACTTAAAAATTTCTTTCATTTCTCTCACCTCAATCTGTTATTTTACAAGGGCCAAATTAATTAGCACGGCGCATCCTGCCGTAATAATTATGTTGGCGAGGGCTAAACAAAAGCGGTTGGTGATAGGTGTTGGTTTACAATGGCCAAATTGGGCTGCCGCGGGCGACTCTGGCCGGCCAACGGAATGAATTGCGCCGAAATATGGAGGCACGCAAGCAAATATATAAAACGAGCCATCCAGATGAAACGGGCCGCGGCTGGGGCAAAAACCAATTCGAGATATGAAATTATATCAAGCGCGCAGGAAAGGAAAGAAGAATTCTCTATACCGCTCGCTTTATTATGATGTTAATAATGAATGCTGCCTCTTTCTTTCTCTCTTTTTCGCCAAACAACGCACGATTCCTCCAGCGCAGATGCGGCCAAAATAAGTAGTCTTTGGGCCGTGCGTGATGAAGTTCTGACAAGAATAAAAAATGCGCCTCTTTAAGGATAATATTCCTGCGCCAAACCGAAGAAAATACCAGGATCTAAAACCAACGTAATACAAAACGACCGCCCGACCGACCGACTCTCCTTGAGCCGAGCGAAAAAGTCATTTGGCAAAAGTAATGCTGATTAAGTTGAAAATTCCTCGCTGTTAGAGGTCGATGGTTCTTGAAATTCTTTGGCGTTTTTTTCTTTCTAATTGAACAAAACTTTTAAAACTTAATTTTTTTTAAATTAATTTGGAAACATCAACATTAAAAATAAAACATCTTTATTAAAACTGGTATTAATGTAAATTTTTTTATTTAAAGATTTTATTTTTCATATTTTAGATAATATGACGCATAATTTATATTATTTTAAGTGCATAATCATATTTCTATTTTATATTGTAGTGATATATGTATAAATAACTAAGATGTACAATAATGATGTATAATATGTGATAAACACAAATGA